GCAGTCACTGCCTTGGAGCTGCAAGCAAACCTTGTACTGCAGCACTGCGGCAGCAGGGACCCAGCCAGACTCTATCCTCCACCAACACAGTCCCTGGAAATCCCCAGCAAGAAGCCTTTGCCACCGAGCCAGAAGAGATGCTGGAGTTGGTGTGGAGCGAGCACAATGCCCACACGTACCTGGCCCTAGCACGGGATGCATAGAATTTCCACACACACTTGCTGTGAAGGCAAAGGAAGAGGCAAGCACGGTGCCTGCCAGGGGCAGGCTAAGCAGGCTAACCCGGTGACTTCTGCAGATTCATCCAGGGAAAGGGAGCAGATACCTTTTATCTGTGCTAAAGCCAAGCATCCGATACAGTCATGTTTCCAGTGTGGCTCTGGATCTGGAGATAAGCATAAGCATTGTTTGGGAAGAAGTCTTCAACAGAATGTTTTGGGGCAGAGTTCTTTCAGGACTGAGGTCACTGATTTTTCTTACTTTGCATTTCATTACTGACCTGTACACGCAGCAGGAATGTGTTACAAGCAGGAGTTCTATTAGCAGGACAAGGGATCAAAACATGCACAAAAACCTGGATGACCGTAGTAAACAGAAGTTCACCAGTGCAGCCTTCAGAAAGCTCAGCAAGTTCTGCTGCCCCACCGTGTTCCAGGCATTATGTTACCATCGCTGCTCTTACTGCCCCATTGCACGTGAGCAGTCTTCAACCAATCCTTCTCTTGCAACCAAACAGCTGTGGGCTTTCAGGTCCCAAATCAACCTTCATCTCCTCTGACATTCATTTAGGACTTCAAACCGGGCAGCACATAGCATGTGGAAATGCATGTTTTCTTTGTTTTTAAGCAAATACTGTTTTACTGATAACAGAACCCAGTGGGACCTTCCTAGCAGCGTGCCAGACTTGACAGAGGTTGCACACTCCTGTTGCACAGCCTGTTCCTAAGCGCTGATTAGTGCACTGATATGCCTCAGCCTCCACCCCAGTGTTGCCCAGTGCACACCAGTGTGCAGGAGGTGCCGGAGCCCCCCCAACCCACAGCAGGCGCTCAACCCTGCTGCTCCCTCACAGGTGAAGCCTCCTCTGTCCCCCCTCTCACCTCCAGCTTCCCCTGGTCCAGACCACAAGCCCCTAGGAATCACAGCCCCGCACAACGGTCCGACATGATGCTGCTGGAGGTGTTGCTCCCACTGCTGTCATAGTTGTAGTATTTCCCTAGAAAACACAGGAAACTGGCTAAATTGGTAGCTGCACCCCAGCTGGCGCATGTGCTGTCCCAGCACTCCTCCCGTAATGATTTCCCATTGGCAAGCATGCACCATTCCACATGTTATATATGAGGTAGTAATTTGTGTCAAGAAGATGGTTGATATTAATAAAGAAGGGGGAGATTTGGGAATGTGGCCATGGGGGTTGGAAAGCCCCATGGTTGAGATAACATTAGAGTCTTAACGACGAGGCCATCAGGAATATAAAAGAGTTTAGAGGGAACAAAGAAGGGTGATTCAGGAGACTCCATGCAGTCTCAGGTTTCTTATTCTCCAGCTGGTCTCTTGTTCTCCAGCCATTAAGGCATGGATGTTTCTGGGTGTTTGCTGTCGTTGTTACAAAGTTGTTTGACCAATGAAAAGTTGTTTTGAAAAGAACTGCTGTGGAGAGAAGGGTATAAGAGGGGAGCCTGCCCTCAAGAAGGAAAAAGAAAAAAAGGCAACACGATTAAGTTACATCAATAAAGAAGCAGAAAAAAGAAGTGAAGAGGAACAGGCTGGAAGAATGGAGACCAGGATGGGAACAGGCACTTTGATTGCCTCATGAAGATAGGTTCGGCCAGACTCAGCAAACTGCTCAGAGAAGCTCGTACAGAAAGTCGCTGGAAATAGGCGCACTGGAGCTGGAGAGAAGCTCGAGCTGAGAGAAGCGGACCCGTGCACACAACTGCCTCTCACTGGTAAGCAGTTGCACATTATGGGGAATCATACGTCCTTAGGAACAAAGACTGTCCTGGTAACCTTACAGCTTATTCTCCTTATTAACAATCGGACAGTTTATGAGCCTGAAATATGGGACCAAACTGAGGTCAAGGTGTGGGACTCTGCAACTAAAAACGACAAGGTTGCAGTGGGATTGCTCGGCACCTGGCGAGCAATCTCTGAGGCCTTAAAGAGCCCTGTGGGACCACAGTCAGAACCGTGTGGTTTGCCAGATAGTGAGGGAGCTGCGGGCTCCTTTACTGATCCGACTGCTACGCCATGGGCCCCTCTGCTGCTACAGCCATCGAAGGCTTTTGCTGTTCCGCCCCCTGCTGACCTGGACGTGCCTTTTGACCCAGGCCTATTGGCCTTGAAAAGGAGATGGATATGCTTTTCTTTGATCTGGGAAGAACGGGATACATAAGGCCTGAAGACTGAGTTGCTTGACAACTTAAAGCGATATATATTGTTCAAAAGGAATGGAAAATGAAGACTGTTAAGTCATGGGACTTAAAGGATTGTTTGTTACCTTTCCTGATTGTACGTATGTATAGGCATACTCGGGTTTAGTATGTAAAGCAATGTTCTGTATATTTAGAATGTTTGATGTTTGTGTGTGCGTGTTGGTGGAGCATAGACTTCCTGCACACCCAGCGCTGTTTACTTGCCTTTTATACCTTTTATAACTTTTATACCTTTTAGAAATATTTGTTTTATAAATATTACAAAATTCAGATTGAGTTGAGACCTCATTTATAACAGTGCTGCTGGAGCAAAAAGGACAGCAGCACTGGCAAGGCTGCACAGAACTCCCATGATAGTTGGGGAGTGTGTCCTCAGCTCTGAGCTACCTCCCATGTTCCCCAGATGCTGCTCCCCATCACCCAGCCCACCTGCCTCTCTTGCTCACCTGGCTCCATTCACTGCTCACGCATCATACATCCAGTCAGCAAAGCCCCCATTCTCAATCAGCCTGTCGTTATCTGTGTCAAACTTCAGCTCCGAATCCATCACAGCCTGCAGGAGGCAGGGGATGGTCATGCATCCCTCTCAGGATGTCTCCCATGGAAAGCCAGGGGGAGGCCGTGTCACCCCTACCATGCGAGGGGCAGGGTCTCCCCCGGTACCTGGCAGACCAGCCACATATCCTGCAGGTATATCGCGTTGTGTGTCAGGTAGTAGTCACGATATACCTGCAGGACAAACTTCAGGTTCATGTCCTTCCAGTTGGCCATGTCATGAATCAGGTATATGCTGACACGCCACCAGGGCTCGTCATCTGCGCAAGGACAGAGTGGATGCAGCAGGGCAGTGAGCAACAGACATCCCCAATCAGAGCCAGGAGCAAGGTTCCAAAAGTGCCACGATCAAGCAGCACTGAAGCAACATATTGCACCCACTGCAGCCATCACCTGGGTCCCCAATGTCATGGGACACCACGTTTTTCAGCTTTACCTGGGCCGTCTGGCCACTCATCAGGTACTGCTGTGGCTCCATGTCCTTGTTTATCACCATGACAGCTGGAAAGGGCGTGGGGTGTTAGCAAGGTAGCGGACACTACAGCAAGCCCAAAGCGTGGGCACAAGTAGGGCCACCAGCACCCTGCTGTGTCCGCAGCACGCCAGGCTCACCCCAGCCTACTGGGGAGATCAAAAGGAGAGGCCAGGCTGCTTCCAGTCTTCACACAGCAAGGGAATGTGACTTTGTCCCCACCCCATGCTACAAGGCCAAGCTTGAGGACCCCATGCAGCCGTAAGCAAGGTGGTGGCATCAACCAGGGCAGGGAGGGAAGCCCATGGAGTTCAGCCCCCAGCACAGGGCTCTGCTCCCTGCTGACAGAGCATCCTCCAAGGCCACCCAGAGCATTAGGGTCTGCAAACAGCCCCACACTTCTCAAAGGGCATGAGACCTGTTGGGATTAGGGATTGCCCCAGTGCAGCAAGAACATGGCCAGAGATTTCAAGGGGCACCAACAGGGCATGGCATGGGGGCTTTGTAAATCCCAGGGCTCAGCAGAGGAGCTGAAGGGGGATTCTGGCTCTGCAGCACCAATGCCTACAGCAGAAGCCATCACAAGCCTGCTCCCGTAGCACCAGCCGGGCAACTAACTGATGTCATACTGCAGGCTGATCTGTAGCTTGGGCCGCAGCACGAGGGCGAAGGAGGCATAGAAGTGGACGTTGTAGGTGTTGTACGTGTGGTATTCCTGCCCTGAAAGCACCTAAGAGGTGGTGAGGGAGGGGAGACCTTCCATGGGGACATCAGAAAAGGCAGGTCCATCCGTCCCCCCCCGTGCCACACAAGGCTTCATCCCACAGGGGTGTGGAAAGTGTCCCCACAGCTGTTAAAACCACCTGGGGTCAGCGATAGGGAGGGTGCAGTTGGGACCATCCATCGTGTCCCTATGAGTTACCTTCTAAATAAGCAAACCTTCCATACTCCCACAGGACAGGGAGGAAGTGGGACAGGGAAGAGGGCAGCAAATTATGTCAGCTCCAAGACTCAGGAGCTGCTAAGCGATCCCTAAACAAACTGGAACTGGCTCAGCTGGCAATGTGAACTCAAGGAAGGCAATTAGGCATCACTCTGGCCATTCAACAAACCTCAGCCCAGCATGCAGCACTGGGCAGATGGACAGGACATTGGGACATGCAATTAATGTAGTCGAGAACAGCCCTGAAATGGTGCTAACAGTTCACAGGGAACTACAAGGTCAGCACGACAGACACCAGGGAATTTGGATACATACTGAACCCTACTTCAAGTGCCTCTGGAGTTGGGAATAAATCTCAGCATCATGGAGTGTTGCAGGAAGAACGGCCGAAGACATGACACACACCAATATGGTCAGATCATGCTCTCCCTTTATTACCTGAATAGCCTGACTTTTATAGCAAATTTAACAGGGGCAGATAGTGTCTCACACAAGATTATTGGTCAAAAGCACTCGGACAAACAACTGTAAGAAAACAACCCCCTTGTGATTAACAGTCACGTAGATCTTGTCCTTGAAGCCAGCTGCTGGCAGCAATATTTTTTAATTCCTCAATTGGGCGATATGGGAACATTGTCATGGGAACTTCTTGTAGTCGTCCTGGTAGCTTGGTTTTCTCAGCTGAAGCAAGTCATGGCCTCCTTGCTGTTTCAAAAATCCTTCAACAGTGGAGAGCAAGGATGGAGCTGCAGCTGCAATAACCCCGTGGAGCAGCTGGCAGTCCTGCACAGCCTCAAAGGCACCTCCATGCTCTTCCCTGCACCCTACAAGGGACAGGAAGGACCTTTCCATGGGGACTGATTCTTCGTCCACTCCTGGGGGAGCTTCCTGCAGACACCATGCATCCCATGGGCATGCCAATGCCCTGGGAGAAGGGAAACTCACACTTGGTACGGCTGACACCTTGTGCACACACACACACCCCTCAGACCTCCACAACACAGCACTCACTGGTGGAGGACTCCAGCTTACCATCCTGCAGGAGGTCTCGCCACACATCCTGGCCTGACCCCGTGGGACTGAACACAATGAGATGAGTGAGAACCGTGCCAGCCTGAGAGGAGAGCATCAGGAAACTGCTTCCACCTCAAAGGAGCAGGTGATGCGATTGGATCCCCCAGAATGTGTCTGGAGCTGATGCTTTTGGTGGGGGGACAATGACCCACCAACAATCCTACAACCCTAAACTTGCTTCCCACATGCTGCCCATTGATGCCACCTCCAAGACTACTTGACTAACAATTGGCAAGCTTCACCCACAGCTCCTCTTACTAGAAACCCCACACAGCACCCAGCTCTGGGGCTGTCCCCAGCCCAGGGCCACTATAAGCATCCCTGCCAGTGGCACAGTCCTGGACCCACTGCTGGCCCTCACCTTCTCCCAGGAAGCCACAGCAAGCGTGAAGGGGTTCATGGGGGTGCAGTGGTGCAGCAGGACACCAGCCACCCGCTTGCCACCCTCCTGCAGGGCAAAGGGCTCATTCCAGTGCTCCCCGCTCTTGTCCTCCTTCGCACCCATGGCATTTTGCAGGCTGAACACGATGGAGATGTCCACGGGCTCCTCATTGTTGTTCTCCACTTCCCAGATGAACATTCCCACCGGCAGGCTGGAGTCCTGGGGGGACACAATGCCATGTGCAGGGCTCATAGTGCTCAGGGCTGCCGAGCGGGGGGGATTCAGGGAGCATTTGGTACTCAATTCCAGACACCAGGCAGCACACAGGCAGGGGGAGCAGTGCTGCAGGCTCAGACAGGTGTCTCAGTGTGGGCTGGTGACTGCTGCCAGCCTCCTATACCTCGCCAGGTATAAGAACAAGGTCAGGGCTGTCAGCAGCCTCCCACCCTCACCTGGGGCTGAGGATGAGTACTGGAGACAGGAAAAACATTGGGAAAGCCCAACTGGGAAACCCCAGCTAATAAGTAGCCCTTCCCTTGGGGATGTCAGGCAGAAGGCAGCTGTCATGCTCAGGAGTGGCTGAGAGAGCACTCAGCCCAGCTGATCCGCATGTGTGGGCTGGGGGGTTCCTAAAGCCTTGTTGCTAATCTTGTGGGCAGCAGGGCCTGCCTCTCTGGGTGGGCAGGAGCCGGGACTGTCACCCAGCAAAAGCAAGGGCAGGGAACGAGCAGGACACAGTGTCAAAACACAGGCAAGAAGGGAAAGGAGCAGCTGCTGGAGCAGAGCACAGGCTGGAAGGGACCACCCCTGGCAGCACCAGTCTGGCTGTAACAAATCCTGCTAGCAGCTAGCACCAGGGATGGGATCTTAGGACAGAAAAGTCCAGGCTGGGAAAAAAAATAACAAGGAGGAAAGCCTGGCTGACTTCAACTAGTGCCTTGGCAGCATCTCTGTGGCTCTCCAGACGCACTGTGACCATCACTGCGAAGACACCGCCTTGCTAGGGCAAAGACAAGTCTACCACAGCATCCCAGGGCACAGCGATGCTCAGGGCTTGGCTTACCTTGTAATCATAGGGGATGACCAGAAAGACCTGGTGGCATGTGAGCACCACGTTTTGCCCCAGCAGCTCGTAGACCATCCAGGTGCGGGAGTACAGTCCATGGTAGAAGGCATAGTGGCTGCAGTAGCCCCAGTTCCAGCCCTGCAGTGTGCTGGGTCTCTCCACAGACAGGACCTGCTGGTAAACTGTCTGCCCCTTGCAATGCAGGCACAGTGTGAACTGGGGAGGAAAGGAGCACAGGGGAATGAGATGAGCCCAGCTGTGAAAGTCTCAGCAACACAGGCTATGTGCAGCATGCAGCCCCACACTGGCTCTGCTCCCCGAGATCGGCATTTTGGGGAGCAGGTGCCACAGAGCCCTACCTGGTCAGCGATAATCGTCCCATAATGGTATTTCTTGGGGTTCAGCTGCCAGTGGCAGAACTTGCCAAGCGTGATGGTGCCTCCACCAATCCCGCCCAGCGGGCAGCCTGACAGACACAGGGATCAGTACTCCCCTCTTCCCGGCCACCTCAACACCCCCTCATGCATCTCCTTTCCCACCCAGCAGCACCCACCTCATTCCCCACACAGGTGCTTGCTCCCCAAATTGACCCTGACAAGCCCCTGCTGCTCCCCTGTGGTACAATTGCCTAAAGTAACTAGGAAAATAAAACTAACATTCACATTTTAAAGAAAATGTACAGCATTGAAGAGGCTTTCAGGGTAGGGCATAGCTGCATTACCTGAGCATTCCCTAGGCTTCCAACCTTATATGCTATCGCGCTGGGGGAACCTGGTGTGCTAGCTCTAAGGAACAGCACGGAGCGTAGAGTGGAGTGGAGACACCACGGCTAGGCTCTGTAATCAGGTGGGGACTCAATTGTTCTTGTGCACACCGAGACCGATAAGCCACACTTTTTGCTACCTTGAGCCAAGGACCTGTGAGGAATGTTTTAACAATTCCAATTCGTGTCCATAAATTCGTGTCCATAAATTCATGTGCATAAAGAATAATTCTGTTTGAATCCTGTCTGCCTCTGGGCCCTGCACTGGCAATTTAGTTCTTGAACCACAGATGCAGTGTGTCCCAGTCTCCCCCTCATTCTAGTCAATTTATCACGTCTTCAGAAAACACTCCTTAAATTTATGAACCTGTTTGCTTTTGTTATTCCGGACTTCTATTCCTAACAGTTACAGCCTTTTTTCCTGTCTTCTTTGAGATTAACTTAACACTGCTATAGATGTGTCTGTGAATGGCTGGGGAAGAATGTTTTAATTACTCGTGAAGCGTCAAATAAGAAAGCTGTTTGTGTTTGATGTCTGGGAGTTTCAGAACAACTGATAACAACTAGTGACTGTTATGAGATACTATGTGGATCCTTGGTATCTGGCCAGGGGGGCCAAGAGATTAAGAGGAAGGAAAAAGAAGCTGAAGGACGGTTGGGAGACAAGACCTGTGGAGAGTGTACAGAGAGTGTTCCATAAACTTGGAATAGTGCCAAGTAAGTACAAAGGGTGAGAGGAAGACTACGAGCCTTCAGCATGAAAGACCCCTAGAGACCCCCAGAGGAGACTGATGCGCATGCTCCAGTAGGAGGAACTGGACCCCGGAAGCTAATTATAATAATCTATTTTTTTTAGAAGTAGTAATGAATATGTATTAGTCTAGGTGCATAAAAATCAGCTGCTTGATGTAACTGGTGTGCGTCCTGGTGGAGCAGAGACTCCCGGTGCACCCAGCGCTGTTTGCTTACCTCTATTCCTTTATATTCTTTTAATAAATCCTATTTTTTTATTTAATCCTAATTTGAATCCTGAGCCATTTATAACAGACCTGTCATGTTTTGACAAATGCTGTACCCTAGTGTACTTTTGCTCATTATAATATCATTATAATACCAGAACACACCTCCGTCCCAAAAGCTACCCGCCTCCAAGGTGTGACCACCCCTCACTGAGCATGCACTCTGAATTTCTCGGAGCCTATTACTTTAAACGGAGACAGGAGAATTTTTCACCAATCACACCTAAGATATGCTTGACCAGAGTCACTCAAGGTCCACCTAAAAGATAGAAAATAATATAAATTGGCCTAAGAGAGAGGGGATGTTGGGGAAGATACCATCGTTAGGGAAACTTAGAAATCTCTATAGAGTCTTTGTGCCTTTTAACGCATTAATTTCCAGGCTGTGCACCTGTGTCACCTGTGTATTTCATGCGTGTTAGCTTGCTTTTGCAGACGGTAACTATCGCTGGCAATCCAAAGAACCTGTGTACCTGTTGCTGTAATAAATTGCACTTGATTGCATTGCTCCTAGTCGTGATAGTTCTCATTAAACACAACTAGAGTAAGGGTGGTTATACGTTATTGGTGAATCTGTGACCGTGGTAGTTCAGTGCTCTGAATCCGACCAGACTCCTAATGGTTAATACGTTGTTGGTGAATCTGTGATTGTGATAGTTCAGTACCCTGAATCTGACTGGACCCATAACAGTTAATCAGCTACACCCCTTAACGTGACACCCCCTCCCATTTTGCCTGCAGGCTTGGGGAGGTGCCCCCAGGGTCTCCCCCACCAACGGGGCGGATGCTGCCATTGCCTCCCACACCACCCTGTGCCTAAACCGGAGCTCACCGTAGATCTGCTGTAGAGGGACCGCACACAAGAGGTCAGTGAAGGTAGATTTCTTCTCTACGCAGGTTTTCTTGTACCACCATCTGAAATACCTGGAAGGAAACCAGGAGCAGTGAAAGTGGGTAGGTGGCAGCGATGCATGGCAGAGCCAGGCAGCACCCATCAGATATTTATTTGACAAGGATCCAGCCCTGTATGACCAGGCTGTGCTCCTCAGCAGTGGATTACTACTGCTGAGCCACCCTGAGCCCAATGTGCCAGGCCCTGAGCGAGCAGACGGAACAGACATACAGCCACTGTCGTGCAGCACCATGCAGAACAGAGGCAGCAACAGGGAAAGACTTTTCCAGCAAATTTAGGGGCAATATCAGCCTGCTCCTTGGTTTGACTGTTTAAGGCCAGCTTTGCTGGTGGAGGTCAGAGGCACCAGAACTGTCTCGTCCCGTCCCACTGCTGCTATCTATGGCTGCATCTGCTGCTATTTTCTTGGCAGCAGCAGCCCCGGTTCAGCAGTGCGATCCCCCAAGGAAACGTGTCTTCACCCAGCGCCCACCCAGCTGCTCCTCAGTGGGTTTCTGGCTTGGGGAGAGAAGGAGCCCACCCAGAGCTGCTGCTGCCACAGCCCAGAGGCACCCAGCCCTTTAGGAGCGGGGTAGTGGGGGAACTCGTGGTGTCGTCCCCCTCCCCCAAGCAGCTCTCCCAGCAGCATGTAGTGGAGAGGACTGGAATTTTACAAGCAGGAGAAAGCAGTCCTGCTCTGCAGCACAAGCCATGACAGGTCTACAGGGCATTGCTTTTCATTCAGGCTGCGGAATTAAAACCTGTCCAGGCACCCTGTCCTGGTGCTCTGTGTTTGAGCCACCAGTGCATCCTGGTATGCATGGGGCTACAGAGCCCTGCAGGGCTGCACAGGAGCTACCCTGTGAGCACCAAGTCCCACCTCAAGACTGGCAGCACCCTGCTTTGCATCCTCTGAAGGTCCAGGATGTCCCCTTACGAGAACCTGCTGGGACCCCATGGACACCCCAAGATGGTGCAGGAGCTTTCCAGATGCTCCAAGCCATGGCAACCTTCAAGAGCACCCTGCAGCATGTCCCCCCTGGGCAAGAGGCAGGGATCTCTATTAAATTTGACACCTACACTGGGTGAGGCCACCCATATTCTGCGGCAGCAACCGGAATTTAATTAGCTCTGTGGTTGAACACACCCCAAGCCTGCAGTATGTCCCCTTCCTGCTGGTCAGCAGCACAAGGAGACCAGTGCTGGTGAAAGTAGCTTCAGCCATGTCCTCAGGGTCAATGGCTTGACGTGGAACTTTGTGCTGTTGAATGAGACCTTTGAACCCTGTCCTGGTTTCAGTTAGGACAGAGTTAATTTCCCTCCTAGTAGCTGGTAGGTGCTATGTTTTGGATTAGGATGAGAAGAGTGCTAATAACATGCTGATTTTTTAATTGTTGCAGAGCAGTGCTTACACCAAGCCAAGGACATTTCAGCTTCTCACTCTGTCCTGCCAGCAGGCAGTCTGGGGGTGTAGCAGGAGCTGGGAGAGGACAGACCCAGGACAGCTGACCCAAACTGGCCAAAGGGGTATTCCATACCGTCTGACATCATGCTAAACAATATATAGGGGTGGTTAACTGGGATGGGGGGGGCTGGCTGCTCAGGAATAAGCTGGGCATCGGTCAGCGGGTGGTGAGCAATTGCACTGTGCATCACTTGTTTCGTACACATTATTATTAGTAGTACTATTATCATTATTTTTATTATTATTATTATTATTGTTATTATTATTATTATCTTCCTGTCTTAATAAACTGTCTCTATCTTAACCCACAGGCTTCACTTTCCCATTTCTCTCCCCCATCCCAGAGAGGGAGGGGGAGCGAACATCTGTGTGGTGCTTAGCTGCCAGCCAGGTTAAACCACATGTGCTGGGTCTGTCTGAGCTGGAGTCACCTTTTCCCTGCAGCAGCCCACACAGTGCTGTACTCTGCACTCGTAGCTGGAACAGCACTGATATCACTCCAGTGTTGTGTCTATTGCTGCGTAGTGCTGGCACAGCATCAGGACTCCTTCTAAGCCCCCAAGAGCCAGCAGGCTGGGGGTGGGCAAGTGATGGGGAGGGGACATCGCCAGGGCAGCTGACCTAAACCAACCAAAGGGATATTCCCTATAAAAAGAGGGGCTCTCGTGGGGGAAGGGGCTGTCCTCCTGAACAACCATTATGTGTTTTGAGGCCCTGCTTCCCAGGATGTGGCCGAACATCGCTTGTTGATGGGAAGTGGAGAACAACTTTTTAATAACTTTTTTTCCCTTTCTCTCTGTGCTTCCGCACTTGTTTTTTTTTGTTTTGTTTTGTTTTTCTTTTTTCCCATTCCCTTTCCCTTTAATTAAATAATTCTGATCTCAAACCTCGAGCTCTCTGTGTTGTATTTTCTCCCCCTTCCTTCTGAGGAGGGAGGAGTGAGAGAGCGGTTGTGGTGGAGCTTGGCTGCCCACCTGAGTAAAACCACCACAGTCCTTTTTGGCGCCCCACGTGGGTCTCGAGGGTTGAGATAACAGTAGAATTGGTTAAAGTATTTACAACTAACATACTCGCTATTCAGAATGTTCGGTTTGCTGCTAATATTTTTCTGTGTGACTATGTTGTATGTTATCCGTCCTCTATTCTCTTTTTTCCTCTATATCCAATTAGTGAACATTTTAAAATTTGTGTTTGGTTTCTTCATCACATGGTGCTGTAATATACTGGCCTTCAGTTTCGTCTGGTACTCAGGCCCTGCACTGTTATCATTCTGGTCTCCTGGAGATTATCTTTTTGGAAATATTAAGAATTACACCACCACCTTTTTCTCCCCTAGAA